ATTACTTTATATTTTTATTTGGCCTTTAAGGATTCAATTTATTTTATTACTTAATGCATTTAGCGAGGTTATTACTTTAGTCCATTTGCCCAAGTCGGGATCGAAAGAAATTATTATATAATCGAGATTATTACTTTATCGAACATTACTTTATCGAGGTTTAACTGATTTGACAACGGAATTTAGAAAACAAAGTGATGTCAAAGACCTTACTGAGGAACCAACTTTAGGTAAATAAAAATTAAAACAAAGATTAAGCTCAACAAACAATTTATTTGATTGTCTGTATCAAATATAGATCAACTATAACACAAATATAATTAATAAGTGTAAGAGATTAATCTCTAAAAAACTATAATCCAACAAATATATATCAAATTCAAAACTCAGGACGACATGAGAAGAAAATAATTAAAAAGAGAAAGAACCTTGCGATTCTTCCCCCATTATCTTTGAATGAAACAATATACCTCAATGCTCGGTTTTTACTTGATGTTGACCTCAGCTGGATGCTAGTCCTTCATACAACAGGTGAAATTAAGAATATTTTCCTGTTATAACTCATTACAGTAGTGAAGCAAACTGATTGAACCATAGAAAACAAACAAAAAAGGCAGCTTCCTTGTAATTTGAAGAAACATGGTATCTCTAAATACTTTCATGGGCTCCAATTTGATCAGATTTGCAGCTCAATTAATCTAACACCACATAATTATAAAGGGAATTGATATCATAATTACTGCATATCTGACTAGTTCTATAAATGATTTTACACCAACTAATTCTAGAATAAACTCCTGACTGAACTCCATCTGCGCTTGAAATAAATGTAAATTAAGAGTCGATTTCACTACCAAAATTCAAGAAAAGTTCTGCAAGCAGTTGTGATCATATAAGAAGGGAAAAAGAAATCAGAAATCAAACATATGAAATACATTATGAACCCTGATGAGAATTGATGACAAGTTATTAACAAAGACGAAACAACCACCACCTTGTTCATAATAAACATGGAGCTGACTGCAGCACAAGTATCCAAAATATGTAAGAAACCAAAAAAGAGAGAAAATTTACCTCCCAAAAGTTCCTGATACTGGTGAGAATCAATTCATTAACAGGTACTCAATACCAGTTGTTTGAAAAGTATTCACTACTTTTGAAGATCAATTCATTGAATAGTACTCACTACCAGCTGTTAGAAAAGTATTCGTCGTTCATCTCTGAATTTCAACATAAATAAACAAACACGCGTGCCCGCGCAAGAAACCTGAAAATACTAGCAGAAAATGTCCTAAATTTTTTTGAAAAACAGGAATTCCCAGTAACCAGCTGTTAGAAAAGTATTCGTCGTTCATTTCTGAATTTCAACATAAATAAACACACACACACACACCCCCACAAACGCATGAACTCTGAAAATGCTAGCAGAATGCATCAGAAAATTTGGACGCTAGTAACCAATAATGGCAGAATTTAATAAGAAATTAGTGGTAGTAAAGTCAGCCAATTTTAGCCCCAACAAGAACCTATTACATTAACATGCCATATTGATAGGGTGCTTACACCTTTGAGCGAGTTGGTCCGAATATTGTAAATAAAATCATTCGAGTTCAATACTTACAGGAACTAAACCCAAACTCGAAAGTCGGATCAATTTGGATTCAGTTCTACTCATAACATTTTTATTAAAAAATCATGAGCGGATGATACAAATTATCTTTTAAATATATAGTACAAATAGAAAGAACAAAATATGACACCAAATATATATTTCAACATTCTCTCAATCTACTGCAAATAAGTCACCAAATAGCTCCAACATATTGTATAATAGTATCCAATTCCGACCGTAGCACTGTGTGCGGCGCCTCAAGAACGGTTTGTGGGAGCGGATAACGAGTGAAGCAAGGTTAGGAGTTGCTATGAATTAAATTGATATGATTTGTCATTCAAATGAATGAATCTCATTGAACCCCTATTTGACCATCATTATTTTCAAACTCTTTTTTTCTACGTACTTATTTT